TTATTCAGAATGAGAAAGAAACATTTCTTATGCATGTTATTTTTGTTAGATAGAACAGTTTATTTAGTAAAACAAATATTTAAGCTGTGTGTCTAACAGATTACAAGTATATCCTGCTCAGTCTTGATGACAACAACTATCAAATTCAATATCGTAATCAATGCAGAAACTAAATTTGCAGATATAGAAAAATATTTAGCAGTTTTGACCATCTGCATTTAGTAAGAAAATGATTTCTCTTGATGTCTTTCTCTGTCTGTCTACAATGATATTTTTTAATGGCAGTTTTCTGTTTTCAGGCTAATACCACAACCAGAGCATCCATCTCTCTCTCTATCCTTTCTGCTGTTGCTATGTTAACAAAATGGTTTGAATTTTCAAAAAAGATTCTTTACACTGAGGAATATCCCACTTGCTTCAAATACATGCAGTTCTTAGAAGACAAGATCTCCTTTATTTCTACTATAATCTCCACTTCTGCTATGAATTATTTTAATTTACATATTTAAGGAATGTCTCAAATATGACAGTTCTCTTCATTAAAAATAAACTGTGTTACTTTGAAGGCACACCAAACTGTTAAGAATTTTGCATGCTTAATAAATCTAGATTCAAAATGGCTCTTCATCTGAACATTGTATAAACACTGTCACATAATAACAATCTTCTGGTGACACAACTTTGATGTTGGTTTGATGTAGTTGTTTCTTACTTAATCTTGGAACACTTAGACTAATGTAATTATTCATAAGAGATTTTTCTTTCTCAAATATATTGCAGAACACTGGCCAAATCCTTCATGTTTTTTAATTCCTTTATGCAAGGAGAACAGCTTCAGCCAGCAGTGTAAGGCTCACTGAAGACACACTCAAGTGCTAAGATGGTATTACATACCAGAAGGATTTGGTAGAAATTTTGAAATCAGTAGTTTTAATGGTATTTATTAGTTGAAAAGCTTCAGCTGCCACTTAATTCTCAGGTTGTGAAACACATTTTTTTCTAATGCTTTTACCTTGAAGCTTGCAATAAATTGACATGGATTGTTGGCATTTAATGCAGCTGATTGGACATTATTTTTCAGTTTTGAGTGCTTTGCCTCCAAGAATACTTTAACCATGGCTTCTTGCAGAGTAATAATCTGTCTTATGGAGAGTTGAAAAAGTATAAAGCAATTTCTGATGACTGAAATGTTGCTGGCTAAACTTAACCTCTAGCAAGAGCAAGATTAACACTATAGAGGCACTATGAACATAACAGCTAGAAGATGGTAGGCTTGAATTTTAGGTTGATATTCCTTCATTTTCCCCACTCCTGTCTGCCATGCCATCATATCCTTTGTCTTTGATATATCTTATCTATATGATCTATTGAAAAATTTTATTGAATTTGTAGTTAGGTTTTATTTGTCTCTATTGCCCTCTATTGGAAGTCTGTCACAGGGACAAATAGAGTTGCCACCTTTTTATTTTCTGAAGTAAGGAAAATGACAATAATGCTTGTGTGGGGGATTATAAATGGGAGGTCCAGGGCAATAGCCCCAGTTTAATGTACCATAGGAAAAAAGTTTCCAAGGAATGTCTTGTGACACCTCTAGAAAAACTCTTTGCATTAAGCTTCTCTTTGATCTAGTTAAGAAACACTAGCTGTTAATATTAGCTGCAATATGTTTTTGTTTTATCTATCCATTTTGCTATTAAGAAGGATATTTTTGTAAAGACAGATGCACAGTGTAAGTGAAGTAAGGACTATCCTTATCAAATAAGGATGAGTATCAACACTAGATATCTTTGACCATACATTTGACACCTTCTTTTACTATATAAAGCATAACTTAGATATGGAAAGTTACTCTAAACCACAAATGTCTGATGTTTCATCAGTAATAGTTTTAGATATATTAATATTTTTTTATCAACATTTCCAAGATTTTTTTTGTGAATAATAGAAAATGACTTCATTATTGTAACTTATAAACAGCATTTTTAATGAGATCTCTCAATTTTTTTCAATGAGTTATCCATTGTAGTTCAACCAGAGAAGAGCCTTAAAGTTTCCTTCAACAGTGGACAAAATTTAGATTTATTTGACTACTTTCCTTTGAGCCTCTTGCTAATCTTTGCTGCCCACACAATTTTATTGTTTCTACAATGGTAATGAGTTTATTTTCCTCTATCACCTTTTTCTTTTCAGAATTTGGTAAAGAAAAACTGTTGCCTATTGACGTACAATTAAGTTTTCTAAACTTTAACCACAAAAGTAGAATAATGAAATTGGAAAACAGTTGATCTGTTTCTCTTGAACTAATTGAGTGCTTTCTTCCAATTTCTATATGGTTGGCTTTCTGGAGTAAGTCAATCAATAGAAAGTTCTCCACTAATGTCCTCGGAAAGGAAGTTTTTTCCAGAACAAGGAAATTCATACTTATCCACAGGAGACCAGATGATTTTTTATACATTGGAAGTATTTGTTTCCAATTTGTTTTTCAAAAATAATGGCATATCCCAAAGAAAAATTTTGTGTAGGCTAATTGTTGATACCTGTTCCTCTGTCAGCAGTATCGGCATTTCATCAGTTGACTGCGATGGTTTTGAGATTTTGCCATCATCAGATCTCCAATTTAATTGGGAATTGTATCCTGATTTTCTGTTTGTTTGTTTCTTTTATTTATTCATTTTGATAAATTAGTATAAATAAATAAGTATCATTTTAGTCTGGCAATTATTTTGGCAAAAAGACAACAAAGAATTCTGTGCACTTACTGAATATCTTTTACTAACAACAGAGAAAAAATAACGGAATAATGAAGAAGGCTGTGTTTCAATAATAGTTTTAAATGAAGAAGGCTTTGCCTTCTTCATTTAAAACTATTTATTTAGCAACTCAACAAATGCTTTACAATATTGCTAAGTTACTAAATATTGAGAATCCTTCACAGGAAATTCCAAAAACTGAAAGTTGAGTGCTTGCTGATGCAATGTGCCACAAATGGAATGTTGATGTGTCTTTTTGCTGGGCGATTCGCTCGGATTCTGGCTACCCAACTGATAAAATTCACGAGAAATATATATATATATAGCGATATAAAAAAGAAAATCAAATCAGACTAATTAAAAATAAATGTATATCACTTTTAGACTTAGATCCCAACCCAAAGTGGCCTCATTTTAAAGATGGAAATATACAAATATTCCGGAATCAACACACTTTGTCCTAAGAATTTCGGATAAAGGATTCTCAACTTGTATTTCACTTCTTCACTTGCCAATTTCTAACCATAAAGTTGCTCACTCTGCACATCCACAGAAGTATGTTTATATACAGTCACGGAACACATTGGAAATTCTGCAAACTTGCATTCTTTTGAGTAACTTTCCACATTGGCTTCAGTAAAACATTCTAGAATCTTCAAGAAACTTTCAATTTGTTCGTTCTTACGTAACTTGTTCTATTATTTTTCTATCTAATAACATTGATAACAGGTTTTAATCAATTTAACAGAATTACTTTTTTTGTACTAGTTGTTTTATTTAATTTATTGTTTCAAAATACCCCCATTTTGAAACAATAAGGCATTCTCCCTTATAATAATGGAGAGCTCCATTAATGCCTAGTATTGTATCAGGGCAGTTGTCCAACTATTTTTGGCAAACATAAATAATAATACATTATCTCAACAAGATAGTGTGCCTGCCCACACTGTCAATTTTACTATTCAAGCTGTTAGGAACTGTATGTACTGTACTGTACTTCCATTAACCTCGGAGATCACCAGACTTTTCTATTTAGCATGTATGAAACAAGACTAGAAGATAGCTGACATCTCAATCCTGCACTACTTTGCCCCAATTGCAAGCTCAGACTGAACAGACTTAAATATAGTTAAAATACTGTATTGCTTGAAAAAACAAGTATCGTGAAAACTAGGATGTGTTTGATTTAAAATCGATTCTATCGTGATTTTGATATGACAGGTGGACAATCCTTGGCACGCGTGCCAAACGTGGCTCGTCAATGACTTTTCTGTGGCACGCAATCCAGGGCTTACCTAAAAAAAAGAAATATCAAACATCTTCGTGGACTCGTATATTTTAACCTAACATACTTAAAATGGTTGTTCACCTCTAGCATACGAGATAACACTTAAAATTGCGATATCGCGTATGCAAATCGCGCAGGTTCAACAAATTAGTAACGTTGCTACAAAAGGCATATTTTTACAGATTAACAATGCGGTATTGTATATAACACGATATAGAAGGGATACGAGGTAGTTTAGTCTTTACAGTAAATAATTGGGATCCCGTTTTAAATTACGAAGAAATATTAGATTATTCTTGGGTCCGATAATCTGACGCCACTGTGTGACATTTCTATGACACAATGCATGAGAAAATCAGTTTGCATTCTAAGGGAGACTACACTTAATCCCAATAAGTTAATGTTATGCGAAACTTCAAGCATTTTTCTGCATAAACTTTTATAAGCTCAAAATTTCAGCCAAAATGAATAATTTTTTCAGTATTCCACTTTCAATTAATTAATATTGAAAGGATTGTAAAATATTTAATATTCTACAGTTAATTAAAAAGAAAAGAGAGAGAGAGAAAGTGCATAGTTTTTATTACGTTACGTTCCCGCCTATTGTATTAAAATAACAGAAAGAAAGTACTGTATCTGTCAAAAAATGACCCACGAAGAAATTTTATATTTTTAACTCAAAGGACCTCGAAACGTCGAGAAATGCAAGAGTTGAGGTTCTTTCTGTGTGCGTATGTATCTTTCGAAAATTTCTGTATTAGGGAAAGATACTGCTTATATTTTAATATAGGCCTACTTATATCAAAAAATTAAACTGTACTTTTTAGCATACACCACGAAACAAAAGTTTGGAAAGATGTTTTTAAGCAGCATGTTTTATGATACAATACTTAAATTATTTAATTTTATTCCATATAAAATATATATATATACACGTAATTAATAACGTAAGATAAACTTACCGTCTGTTGTTCGACACCATTACTTGTCACAATGGGAACAGTGAACGGCGTTCCTTCCTTCTGTTCACTTCTGGGTTGAGTGCCAACCGTGGTCTGATCACCATTCTGCGTGTACTGAGCGTAAGTCGAAGTCATCTGTGTTTGTACCATTGGCTGAAATAGTTTTAAAATAAAATTAATTTAAGAAACTGAATTTATTGACAAATAATAAAAATTCCTCAATTAAATTACAATAAGTCTTATAAATATTTTCTTAGGAAAGAAGTTGTTCGCCTACATTTTTTAACTAAACTAGTTACAAGTTATATTTTATAACCCTTAAAGGGGAAAAAAGTAAACTATTTTTCCACGTCACTCACACTGTGTTCAGACTGACTGAGTTAATCCCGATCTAGTGTTTTAAATCCAATAAACTCGATTTTACTCGACAACAAAACTTCTAAGAATTTTTAAGTCCATAGAATAAACGGCACAGAAGAAGAGAACCCGTGGTGGATAAACAATGGGTGAAAGTATTAATTAAGAAAAAAAAAACCGACTGCCTCCACTTAACGAAGATACTCGAGGTTGGGTTTTCTGTTTCTGTTAGCAACGCATTTGTCGAGAGGTTCTTCAGTATTATGAAGAGTCTACGGACAGAAAGAATGAGACGGGAACTTGTAAAATCGGAAGTCTGTATCGAATTTAATTATGAACTGTCTGCGTGGAGTTTTATGATTCTATTTTGAAACTGAAAAAACAAAAAAATTGGCTGCAGCAGAATGGCACAAAAAGAAGTATTGGTTTAAGAAACACGAAAACAACAACAGCAACCAATAGGTAATTGTCGATTTATAGGAGCCATTTTTAATAATCGATATAAATCGATTCTATCGTTAAAGGAGGGCAGATGAAATACTACGTATAAATGTCACGAAATAAATCAATTTGTTTAATGAAGGTCTTCGATCTAAATCGTCAAAGAATTTGAAAGAAAATTATTATAAACTGATTTTTGGCCTAAAAAATTATTAAAATCATTTTTTTTTCTATTGTATTCTAGGAACGAACGAAATTATTAAATTCAAATTCCGCATAATGTCGTGTTTTAAATCACGTGTTTGTTAGGTGTCTTGCACATTCATTAAAGGGAACCATTTGGAAGATAGAATAATTCAGTTCCAAATGTTGTACATTTTCGTACTGTCAAACACCAGGTCCACTTTCTTCGTGACTTTTTCATTCTGTTACTTTAAAAAAAAAAAAGTAATCCTCCCTTACCTTATGTATTTACAATTCCGTAGACTTATTTAAATATAATTCCACTCTACTTTACTTCTATCCCCCTTCCAGACAGGTTAATTTAGTTAATAAATTTGTATAATTGGCAAATATTTGCAACAAAGTTAGGAAAGTTAAGAAATAAATATACCAAAATGTTTAAATTAATTAAAACGATTGTTCAAAAATGTAAAGCAGCCAATGGAAAAGTGATATGGCGAAATACAGTATAATTGATTTAAAATATTTAAATTGACGGTCAATAGAAAGCGCAGACCGAGCACTTTCTATATTGGTCTTTACTATTGTCAATAGAGAGAACAGATTCTAAAGTCCACCCTCACCCCCTCCTATTGGCACTTTATTATTAAAGTCGCGATGAATGTGATATTTTAAGGTTTCTCCGCGGCTAAAATAAAAGGCAAATCGATTTCTGAACAATTTCCGCAATCAAATTTAAGAATTGAACGAGTGAGAACAATTCGTAGCTAAAAATAAATTCTTTTTCGTTCGTGTTAAATAATAATAATAATAAATGATGTAAACAAGAATCTACCTTTAAAAACTTAATTTACTAAAAATGATTAGAAATACAGTAGATAATTACTAAACTAATTACTTGTAGGGCCTTTACGAATCCCTTTTATATCGATCCTTTATTAATTTTCCATAGCATTAAAAATATTTAAAATGAGCTTTGTATTCCTCCTGTTGAACTCCCATCGATTGTATTAATACCAGAATACGTGACTAGCCGTGATAAAAACGTTGTAATTAGAATTAGTGTTTTGTTATTAATTTGAATTTGAATTAAAATCGATTGATCGGCATCTTTATAACTATTTTCGTATCCTTTGGGGAGAGCTAAAGTCACCATTGAAGTACGGTGGTAGGATTTGTCGATTGGTAAATGGTGATATCGAACGATTTCCGATTCATCTAGCGACTATTTTGGTGTCTACACCTCTAATATCCTATTACCGACTCTTTTCTAATGTCCTTTATTCATCTTCGTTTAGATCCTTCTCCTCTTATTCCTTGTGGATACTCAGATTACAAAGGAATCGGCACCGTAAACTTACTTCTTGTCGATTACCGAAAGATATTCTAAACCTAGTATATAAAATCCCAAAGTTTACCTCCATAAAATATATTATTCCTTGATTTTTTATGATTAAAAACAATAAAAATTACTTCATAACTGTGGAAGAAACTTTTCTAGTTTGTTAGCTTTATCATCGTTATCGCGGTTGATCGAATTCGCTCGATCGATCGATCCTACTAACTTTAATTATGTTGTTTTAAATGAGATTTCACTTCCAATATAGAAAAAAAAAGGATGATCGATCAAAATAAGGATGATCGTAATTCAACATAGTAAAATATATACAGTAAAGCTTCATTTATTAAGTATATGTTTGCAGGGAATTACTATTTATTAAGGGAGTTTTAATCTTCAAATTATGTACGAGTGTATAAATCCCTAGTTTATACAGTAAATACCGAAAGCGATACTTTAATGTCAGTCAGCCCGACTGTATCGAATGACGCGACGTGTGTTTGTTCCTTTGGGTTCCGGGAGCGATATTTTGACGTCATTTCCTCAATTGTTCGTCGTAAAAGCCAACGAATGACACGGAGTTTACTTTTAGATGTAAGTTAAATCGCTTTGGCACGTAGTCCGAGAACCTTTAGCAAATTCGACACCAATAACAGCCTTCGCCTGGAGGAATGATCTTCTAAAAACAAACACGAGAGAGAATTGCTTGTGTTTTTGGTAAAAGACAAAGTACAATATCGGTATATGGAAGAAATAAACTTTTCAAGTAACTTTTGTTCTACACAAAAACGTCCCTAGAGAAATTTACAAAAGTTTGTCGATAGAATCCATTAAAACGGAATAGTTTCATCCCCTGTCTTCTACAAAATCACCATAAAATTGTTATCTTTACGTATATTTTTTTAAAAAATTAGCCACGATATTCTTCTTGTTATGGAAAGATCTGTTCTATAAACTAAGACATTCTAACAGCGTGACACGTGTAGGGTATTACCACAGTGACGTAGAATGAGAGATAATTTGAGCTTGTGTTTATTACTTTTTTCGGTGGCAGAGTAAGACCCCCCTAAGTAATCTTACGACGTCATAAACAGATAACGTCTAACTGTAGTTATAGAATTATAAATTACCATGAAGCACATTTACCGTAGTAAAATGTATATTTTTTCGAATTTCGAGCCTCTAGGTACGCTCTTCACGTGTCTACTGGGCAATCCGGCACTGCAGCAAACGATGGTACCCGAAGAGTACTTTTTAAAGTAACCTAGCAACAAATAATTCTCTCGATTTTCCTTTCACTTTTACCACAAAAATCGAGCGATTTCTTCCTTTCCCGCAACGGAAAAAGCCCGAATGCTCGACATCGATTAAGAAAATAAATCAAATAGTAAATCACGAGGGCGCAAACAAGACGAGCCACTCCCAGTGATAAAACTAAATAACCCGTAACGTGTTCACTCTATTAATGGCGGCCAGACGGTTCCACGTAAAGGCCGCGATAAACACCAATTTCCAATAAGAAAAAAAACCCTCTCTCTGTCCGCACCGTAACTAATACGAAGGGGGATGGTTAAATTTTAGTGTGGAAAATAGGGGTTCTTTTATCAGTTTAGCCGGTTTTTAACGACTCCCCATTATCATAAACTGTACGAATTTACTATTTAACACATAAAAATTATGCGGAACCGTCCACCTCCATTTTATTTAATTGATAAAAAGAAAACAATACGTTAATTGTGTAGCGAACAAATTCGTTTTCTCTCTTTCTCTTCGCTCTTTTTTTTTCTTTCGTCGTATCATAAATATAAAACAACAGCGTAAACTTTATTTCGAAGATAAAAATATATATATTTTAAGATAATTTAATATAGCAATAAACAATATTAAAGTAAAACGATAGCATCTTTATTATATAAAGAGTAAGAAGAGCGAGTGTTTCGAAAACAATCAGGCAAGAGAGAAAGATTAAAAATTATCGCTGTAATTATTTAACTTTACAGAAACAAGAAACAATTCTTTCGTCCCCGACAAAAAAAAAAGAAGACAACGGCATCTAAATCTCTGTTTATTAATTCAAAAAGTGTTTCCATCGTCGTTTCTATTGTTTATTTGGCATAAATATCTGCCCCTTTAATAAAGACACACCTAAAATTGGAGTATATATATATATATACTTAAATATATAATAAAGACTTTATCCATCACAGATGGATACAGCCAGAAAAATTTAAAAGGGGTTAGAAAATGTTAACGTAGACGTGTTAGGAGGTGACGAAGATCGAATTCGTAACATTCGTCACTCTACCCGTTAGAAAAGAGGAATTCTTTCAAATAACGTATCGATTATATATTTTTGAAACTAATTTCTATGATGATGGTGATGATAATGCCAAAAAAACTATATTATTTTGTAAAATTCCCCCTCTCTTTTCATTCCGAGAACGTTGAATGGAATCGAAATTACGATGCTTTAATAACGAGACTTTTTATACACTTCTAAACGTTTTTTTTAAACTCCTATCAATACATTTTAAAATACATCCGATTCGATTTTGTCACAGCGAAAAAGATCGAACGAATGACCAAAAAAATGAGGAAAAGGAACCAATCCGATTCACCGTATCGTACGTAAGCTTTTCAACGATTCGTTCGCGAGCCACGCGTCACTAATCCCTTTCCTTATACGTAAAATTCGGCCATTTTTTTTTAAATTAATTTATATTAAAGACTAATTTAGCTCGTTTTCTCTATTCGAAACACTCGAATTCACTAATTTGTATCGATGTAATTTAGAATGTCGTTCTCTAATTACATTTTCTATCGCAAAAGTTTC